ATAACAATATTCACTACAAACATCTTATAAAATCATACTATACTTGATGAGAATTAGGAAACACCAATAAGAAAGTTAGCAAACATTGATTAGAAATTTAGTAAATGAATAATTGATGCTTAGAAAAAGTTGTAGCTGATCGATATTTGAGAAGTAAATTCTTATGAAACACACTCGATGATTTTAAGATCCTATGTATCATTATTAACTAATAATTCAAGTTGTACAATTATTATGATATACAAGGCATCACTTAAAATCCTTCATGCATGTGGCATTAGAATGATTCGTCCTTCGATATCCAAGATTATTTTAAATTGGAAAAACTTGGGTATAGTATTTACTGTTGGGTATTATTTTTTTAATTAAAATTAAAGATTCATCTTGATAATATGTATAAATATATATTATTAAAATTTAGCTCAAAACCAACAAGTCATAAGCTGACTAATGGAGATAAGATGGTATTTTGTATAGCCTAGAAGAGACAATAATACTACTTGTATTATTTACTGATTTAGTGAAAAATTCCACCTATATAAAATACTAAACTTGTATTTCAAGGCTTTTTTAGTGAACCAAAATAAAATTTGTGTGTCTTGCGCTTATTCTCTAACCTATCTGCATATTCATAACTCTACTTATTCATTAAGTTTGCTGCATAATTAATTAATATTACCTTATATTATTATATATAACTAACAAATATCTAATTTATCAAAACTAATAAAAATAGTAAAATTAGTAAATTGTATTAATAATGTTATTATTTGAAATTTTATTTTATAAATATTTATAAAATTAAATAATATGATAATTATATTTAATGACATTGTTCAAAAAAGAAATATTTTTTTCTTCTAACAAATAAACATGTTTTTATTGTATTAATTGTTTGATAAATGTATTCACTTTTAGGGGCAGACCTTGGGCATCGCTCCCCCAAATTTATATATATTTATTTATTTATTTATTTATATATATAATAATATTAGATTTATATATTATCATATTATTAATTGTAATAAAACTAAAAAATTAAGTAAAAAAAAGAGAAATTCTATTATTTCTTAATTAATAAAAAAATTAATTTATAATTTTATATATATATAAAAAATTAATTTGATATCCCAAATTTTTTATTCAAGTTCCACCACTCATTTTTATGAAAAATGAATAGAAGATAATTAAGGATATAAAAGATAATTACGAAACAATATATTTAAAAATAGATACATGTTTCTTGTATTTAGGATTAAAACATGACTTTCATCCTAAACTAATTAGTATTAAGTAAAATTGTCAACACTCCTCTTCATATATTCCTACCAGACCATAAAAATAACAAAATGATATATTTTAAAAAATTAAAAATTAAAAATTTTCTAAAAATACTCTCATTCTCATTCAATAATTGACCTAAATTTTATCAGTCTTTAATACATTGCACTCGTAATTTTATCGGCTCTATAAACATTAGTCAATAAGAGAGTATAAGGTTACTTTAACAGATAATAAATATAATATTAAAAAAATGTATTAATGTATTTTGAGATTTCTCGCGAACAAATCTCTATTTTTTATATGCACTGATAAGAGCTCGTGGCTGACAGCCACTAGAGATCGTTAATCTCCAAAATAAAAAATTCCTGTAACCCTTCTCACATTTACTTTTTGTCCTTAATACATCACAAAACCTTATTATGTATCAATCATATTATAGCTTGGTTAATTACAAAAATGTCTCCCACCATTGCAAAATGAAAAAGAAAAAAAAAGAAGTTACATGTTTGGATCTGATAAAATAAAGGGAGAAAAGTAAGCCACAAATAATAGGGGTCAAAATGTTTGTTAAAAACATAGAATAGAGAATCCAATGTATATATCGAAGTGGTTGCTTTCCATGTCTCTTAATTCAATTTGCTTAGATTGTGTGATTCACCATTTTTAGTTGAGAGGTCTCTGGCGCTCAATGCGGAGACCAACTAGCTATAGCTACGCACCCTCCCCTCCCTTCTTTTTCATTCATAATCATACTTCACAAATCAAGAAAGAAAAAGAGGTGGGGATGTTCCATCAATTCCCAACCCAACTTTTTCATATTTTCACTTGCCTCAACCACAACCATCTCTCTTTATACACAATCAAGTTATCTTCTTCAACTCAGTTATTGAATCAATTTTCTAAATACTCTTTGCCCTATGAAAACCATGCTTTGTGAGCATAAATTAATATTTTGATAACCATGTTTATAAACTATATATAAAAAAAAGCTGTTTAAATATTTCGAAAGAGCAATCTGTCTAATTTTTAATTCAACCAATTTATAATAACTATTTGTTTAATAGGCAGAAATTATATAAAAGGCAGAGCACTAGGGTTATAATAGTTATTAAGTTATAATTATTTGTGTTCCGGCCAAGAGGTGCACTAGGATTTTTTCCTAGGTCAAGCCTCAAGGTCAGAGCATTCAAAGAGGTAATCTGGCCTCTTAGCCTTAGGGTTTTAGGTTTTATACTTCGTTGTTCATGGGCCTTATGGGCCCCGAGAACGTAGGGATTTCCTCAACCGTTCTTGCTACGAGGCCGCGCAATGAGTGAGGATTAGTCAAGTCGGATTTTGACCGACTAGGCCTGTGCCAAGGGTCCAATCAGGTAAGCGTCGAGCAACAGTCAAGTCGGATTTTGACCGACTAGGCCTGTGCCAAGGGTCCAATCGGGTAAGCGCCAAGCAGCCCCCTTATAGGCGAGTGGAGTCGAACCAGGAGTGAGTCGGCTCGCGTAGGGATGTCAACTCAGTTGTAGGCCGAGTGGCTTCCAATCAGACAGAGGATCTAGTCGGGTTTTTACCTAGACGGTACACTAGCCTTCCAGCCCTGAGCCGATAAGGCGAGAGGGCTTGTGGCCTGGTAACTTAGTCGGATATCGACCGAGTAGAGATCAGTCAGATTTTTACCTAGATGGTACACTAGTCGGGTTTTTAGCTAGACGGTACACTAGCCTTCCAGCCCTGAGCCGATAAGGCGAGAGGGCTTGTGGCCTGGTAACTTAGTCGGGTATCGACCGAGTAGAGATCAGTCGGATTTTTACCTAGACGGTACACTAGCCTTCCAGCCCTGAGCCGATAAGGCGAGAGGGCTTGTGGCCTGGTAACTTAGTCGGATATCGACCGAGTAGAGATCAGTCAGATTTTTACCTAGATGGTACACTAGTCGGGTTTTTAGCTAGACGGTACACTAGCCTTCCAGCCCTGAGCCGATAAGGCGAGAGGGCTTGTGGCCTGGTAACTTAGTCGGGTATTGACCGAGTAGAGATCAGTCGGATTTTTACCTAGACGGTACACTAGCCTTCCAGCCCTAAGCCTGCAAGGCGTAAGGGCTTTCATTGTCCTAAGCTCGAATCCAGGTCGGATATTGGCCGAGCCTTATCAAGGTATGAGGTGTGATCGGTAATCTCCCGACCGGGACGACACAAAAGTCAAATTTGAAGTGTAGCTCGCCCAAATTCCGATTCCAATAACTGGAAAATTTTCTAAGTTGGGACGAGATTTAAAATTACGTCGCCCAAATCCCGAGTGTGAAAGAATAGTTATTCTTATTTTAAAAAACAAGGTTTGAATCGGATCTCGCCTTAATGCCGAGTAAGGGAGATTATAAATATATGCAAAGTCTTCTATGTTAAAATAATCCCTAATAAATATATGCAAAGTCTTCTATGTTAAAATAATCCCCCAGATGTCGAGTAGGAAGAAGGAAATTCAAAATTCCAAGCTGAAAATCACGTTTGAATCAAATGTTAAGGAATTGGCCAGATAATGGGTCGTACGCGTATCTTAATATAACAAGTGGACAGAATGGAGTGACATGAGAAATTAAATTTGGCCAATCCGGTCGGCCAATTTCCGAGCCAATATGGCCATCGCCAAAATTCCGATTAATAGATTTGAGAAGATTCACCAAGGTAGAGTAGAGTAATCTACCAAGTTCCAACTAGGTCGTCTTGTACCCTGCATAGAAGATTTTCTAATTTTAAAATGAAATTTTAAATAGTCAGTCGGCCGGTATCCGACTCGTATAGAGTGGAATATATAATTAAAAATAAACTTGGCCAAGTACATCGTCCAAGTTCCGATTGCATTCAAATGAAAATTTTTCTGTTAAAAAATGAATCTCGACTACATCAATCGCCCAAATTCCGATTCCGATTCGTAAAAATAAGTAAACCGGTTTCTAAGTCAAATATTTAAGCTTCAACAGGACAATCGCCTAAATTCTGACTCGTATAAAGAGTGGATAATTTTTCTAACTTTAAGAAGAAATTTTACCAAACGAGTTGGTGAGGTTCCGACTTGTATAATGTTTTAAAGTAAAATTTACGTAGCCATTCGGCTAAATCCTGGCTCGCATAACAGTGGAAACTTTCAAACTTAAAAAGTGATCTTTTCAAAGCTAATCAGCCAGGTTCCGAGTCGTATAGAGGTGGAAAATTTCCAAGCTGCAAATTCTCTATAAAGTAAGTCGGTCAAGCTCCGAGTTTGTATAACATCATAAAATTTCTTTAAAATGAAAGTTTCCTTTTCGTAGCCTATTCGGTCAAATTCTGACTCGTGAAGAGAAGTGGAAAATTTTTGTAAGAAATTATATATGGTCGGTCGGACAAATTTCGATCCGTAAGATGCCGAGTTGCCCGATGAAGTACAATCGATCCAAAGCTGAGTTGCGCGAGTTCTGGGGTCTTTTTGAAAAGTAATCATTCTAGTCCCGACTTCGCCTGCTTTAGCAATATTGTCGTCGCAATTGGGCCAAGTCCAGAACTCAAGAAAACTTTCAAGGGTCGACCAAACCAGGATTAGAACAGAGATGGACATTAGAGAACAATATAATCATGTAAAAAATTGTTCCTATTGTCACACCCCTGGTCACACTAGCTTTTGACGGAACACAGGACCCCGGCCAACACTTGACGGATTTTCGAGCCCAAATGTTGATCTGTGGTGGGAGCATGGAGGTCCGTTGCAAATTGTTCATGGGCACGCTCAAAAAGGCGGCGCTTGATTGGTTTAGCGGTCTTCTTGATCGATCGATCACCGACTTCGATGTCTTCAGTCGGCTTTTCATGGCGCAATTCGCCGCTAACAAGAGGAAGCCGCCGATCACATCAGACTTGTTCGACCTCAAGCAACAACGCGAGGAGTCCCTAAAAGACTTTATGCAAAGGTTTAATGAGGTCGCCTTGAGGATAGCGTCTTTGGATGAACGGATGGCGGTGATCGCGTTCCAGAAGGGTTTAAGGTCCGGGGCTTTCGATATCGCGCTTGAAAAAGCAAATTGTCAGACGATGTCGGAAGTCTGGGCTTTCGCATTGAGTCATATCAAGACGGAGGAGAACCAGATTATTAAAAGGGCAGCGGAGAACCGAGAAGCATCGAGTAGCAATAAGGAGGGCAACAAATATCTCCGGCCGCGGTCGGATTGGAGTAAGTGACGCGACCAATACAACCCGAAGGAGAGTAACTACCGACAGGCCGATCGTGCTGGTCGGTCAAGGGGTGAGTGGCCGCGTAGCAAGGAGGAGGAGAAGTATACGCCACTTAATGTTTCCAGGCGACACATTTTACATGACGTTAACAGTGCGTCATTATTCGAGTTCCCAGAGGCAACAGACCGCCAGTTGGGACCTCACAAAACCGATTGGTGTGAGTTCCATCGGACTCATGGGCACAAGACGGAGAATTGTTTCGTTCTCGGGAGGCAGATCGAGCGCCTTATCAAGGAGGGTCGATTGAAAGAGTTTATTGCAGGAAAGCAGGGTGAGAGCTCGTCCGACAGGCGACGTAGGCAGGAAGGAGAAGACACCGGGAGAAGAAGGCGCGAAGGGAGGTCTCCACCGAGAGACCCCCCGCAAAAATCTGTGGAGGCGCACCAGCAGGCTATCCATGGAGATTTCAACACTATAGCAGGGGGATTTGCAGGAGGGGGCCGACTTCGGCGTCCCGGAAGAGATACTCTCGGTCAGTGTTCTCGGTTGCGGAGTGGACGAGACCTACTCGGCCTGATATCACGTTCTCGGATGCCGACTTCGAGGGCGTGTCCCCACACGAGGATGACCCGATAGTCGTCTCGGAGGTTGTCATGGGTTACAATGTGAAACGTGTACTGGTGGACCAGGGTAGCTCGACAGACATACTTTTTTGGGAAGCTTTTGTTGGTATGAAAATTCCGACTGATCGCCTTATGCCGTACGCAGGTACATTAGTTGGTTTTGCAGGTGATCAGGTAACAACTAGAGGATATGCCGACTTGGAGACAACTTTTGGCCATGGAGAGAACTTGAAGACTGTCACTGTCCGATACCTAGTGGTGAACGCCCAATCATCCTATAGCATACTAGTGGGCCGACCGACAGTAAATAAGTTGGGAGCGGTCGTCTCCACACCTCACTTAAAGCTGAAGTACTCTCCAAGGGGTGCACTAGGGTTTTTTCCTAGGTCAAGCCTCAAGACCAGAGCATTCAAAGGGGTAATCTGCCCTCTTAGCCTTAGGGTTTTAGGTTTTATACTTCGTCGTTCATGGGCCTTATGGGCCCCGAGAACGTAGGGATTTCTTCAACCGTTCTTGCTACGAGGTCGCGCAATGAGTGAGGATTAGTCAAGTCGGATTTTGACCGACTAGGCCTGTGCCAAGGGTCCAATCAGGTGAGCGCCGAGCAACAGTCAAGTCAGATTTTGACCGACTAGGCCTGTGCCAAGGGTCCAATCGGGTAAGCGCCAAACAGCCCCCTTATAGGCGAATGAAGTCGAACCAGGAGTGAGTCGGCTCGCGTAGGGATGTCAACTCGGTTGTAGGCCGAGTGACTTCCAATCAGACAGAGGATCTAGTCGGGTTTTTACGTAGACGGTACACTAGCCTTCCATCCCTGAGCCGATAAGGCGAGAGGGCTTGTGGCCTGGTAACTTAGTCGGATATCGACCGAGTAGAGATCAGTCAGATTTTTACCTAGATGGTACACTAGTCGGGTTTTTACCTAGATGGTATACACTAGCCTTCCAGCCCTGAGCCGATAAGGCGAGAGGACTTGTGGCCTGGTAACTTAGTCGGATATCGACCGAGTAGAGATCAGTAAGATTTTTACCTAGATGGTACAATTTGTAATAATAGTTTCATTGAATTCCATCTAACTCAAAAAAAAAAAAATAGAGAGAGAGAATATTGAACTTTCTTACAAACTCAATCCTACGGCATGACCCCCAAAACTGAAATTTATGATCTAATAATTAATCACCTTAGCCAACTGCACATCTCATCACATATATAATCTTTAGGTCTCCAAGTAAATTAGGATCTAACTCACCTCATGTTAAAGTCAACACCTAACATCTTGACTTTGAGTGATGTAGTTATATTTAATTAAGAGGTACTAATACGTCTTTATTAGATATACTATATATTTCACCCATCACATTATATTGTATTTGATTAAACCAAGTGCTTTAAAAAGATTATAAAATCATCGTTAACGCGGTTCATCCAAGATATGGAACAAATTAACAACATCCAACAATCCCCTTACATTTTCTATCAAAGTATATTTCATGACCCCAACCCATCAAAGTTAGTAACTACTCTAAGTTCTTAGAAAAATCACATTCACCTGTAATTAATAGTGAATACCACAACTTCCCTTTCATGCATGTATTCGTTTTTTTTTTCCCCTCCTTTTCATACTATCATTACTTGCAGGTGTCACCATTTATTCTATCGTATTGTTATTCTACCACACTTGAGGTAACCTGAGGGAACCACCATGTTAAGTGTAGACCGAATCCCATTGGGCCGCGTCATAACATCTTTAAATATAAATAGCTATCAACATTAAAAAACTATTATGTTAAGTATATAATAACATTCCTTTTGATTCATGAAAACCAATGGTCGTGACAGAAATAATAAACATTTGAAGAAAGTAACAAATAGGTGCAGTTGCTTCGCGTATTCGTCTGTCTGCAAAACCAACTAAATAAGACATAATTTCCACGTTATGGGGGGAGGGTCAATATTTTTATCATATTTTTCTTTCTCTCTATTATTTTTTCACCTCTTTCTAGATGCAGACTTAGCATTCGGAGTATTCAATTTTTTTTTTTCCTTTTCGAAGACACTAACCTCCATCCGTAATTAGAAAATACACTATACTACACCCTAATTTGTTGTTGGTTTGAACATATATCTAGCTTAAATTTTGTAAGGATGTTCATGATCAATATTTTTTTCTACAATTAAAAAATAATCAAATCAGTTCATTTAGAAGAAAATAGAGTATATAAGTAAAAATTTGCTAGATTAATTTTGATCCAATTTCACTTTTTAAAATAAACTATCCGTAAATATATACTGATAAATTTCATACTCAATGTTTCGTCGAACCTTCGACGTATATAAATCTTTATCTTGAAAGACTAACTTACAAAAATTATACTAAAAAAAGTCAAGTTTATAATTAAGAAATTTGCATTGATATGTGCTTAAGATGACATAACCTAAAAATATAACATGATTGTACTACGTGGCAAAATACAAACTAGAAAACAAAATAAAGAAAAATATTGATCTAGAAAGTGAATAGTTACTGTGGGGACCCACAGTGTAGCAATGTGAATCCTGTTTGATCCTAACACAGAAAGCCAAGTTGGACTTTTTCCTGTTACTGGGATGCTTAACCAAACCAAACCAACTCAACCGACCTTTGACGTACCTTCTTTCTCCTTCTCCTTCTCCTTCTCCTTCTCCCTCCCTTCCTCTCTTCCTTTCTTTCTATTTTATCACTATTTTTTATTTTATTTTTCTGTAAACGACCACAGTCCACACACCAAAAACACCAAACCTTTTTACACACATAACATATCTCTTTTGTTGTCTCAGCAAAATCTGTCATATCACATATCATAGCTCATGGGTTCTCCTTTCACTTCTAACCAAAGCCATGGCCACACTTGGCTCTTCATGTCACTACTATTCATGTCTTTAGCTTCGGAGACTTGCCACGCTCTCCACTCCTTCGGCTTTGACATCCACCACCGTTTCTCTGATCCCGTCAAGGGGATTCTCGGCGTTGACAACTTCCCCGACAAGGGGACAAGTCAATACTATGTTGCCATGGCCCACAGAGACCGAATATTCCGGGGCCGCCACCTCGCCGCCGGTTACCAAACGCCGCTCACTTTTCTACCCTCCAACGAGACTTATCAGTTTGGAGCCTTTGGATTGTAAGACTTTCTTAACCACTAGGCACTAGTCAACTCACCTCAATTTCTGATTACTCTTTATGCTTTTTCTAGATCCTTTTTTAATAGGGAATTTTAAAGATATAGATCTGTGTGTAGAATGAAAAGAGAATAGAATATGGTTTATGTTTTGGTGCTTGGAAAGGTGCAGGAAGAGAATCTCAAGGGGATATTTCTCTTTCCCCCTTTTTTGGGAAACCGAATGAAGTTTGCAAAAGAAAGAAAAAAAAAAAAACTTTTTTTTGTTTCCTTCTTTTTTGGGTTGTATGAAAATCCTTTTTTCTAAAAAAAAAAAAAATTGGAATGAGTTTTTTTAGGCATTCTCTATGTGTGGTAGTAATTTAATTTGTTTTCCTCATTTGGATATTTCAGCTTGCATTTTGCCAATGTTTCTGTTGGGACTCCACCTTTGTCGTTTCTTGTGGCATTGGATACTGGTAGTGACTTGTTCTGGTTACCTTGCAATTGTACCAAATGTGTGCGTGGTGTAGAGTTATCAAACGGACGGGTATACCATTTCATTTATTGTTTTAACTATATTTTGTGGGTTCTTGATCAGTTCTGAACAAAACTGATGGAGAAGTTTGACTTTAATGACGATTTCTTTATGCTTTTATCTGGCAGAAAACGGAGAAAATTGTTTTTAATATCTATGATCCTAAAAAATCATCCACAAGCCAAAGCGTTTCGTGCAATAGCAGCTTATGTGAGCTACAGAAACAATGCCCTTCATCTGGTAGCACTTGTCCATATGAAGTAAACTATCTATCCAATGGTACTTCAACTTCTGGGTTCCTGGTGGAGGATGTGTTGCACTTGACTACAGATGATGATCAAACAAAAAAATCTGAAACGCAAATTACTTTTGGGTAAAATTCTCAACTTCTTGCTGATATATTTTATTGGGAATACATATATGCATATGAATCATTAGTGTGTATTCTTGGTCATATTGCATTACTCTGCTTTTGGGAAGTTGGACTATAACATTTTATATAGTGATTGAAGTGGAAAAAACAAAAAGTTCACTTCTAGGAAGGTTCATGATACGCATAATAATAACCACATCTAATTAGCCCTTATCATGTTTGTGAGCATGAGAGTACAGTACATTAAGTTTCCTAACCATATCTTTTGTTTGATTATTGTTCTTTGAAACAGCTAGGTATAATCATCTTTTTTTTTTTTTTTAACTTGTTTTTCATATGTTGCAGTTGTGGCCAAGTTCAGACTGGTGCATTTTTGGATGGTGCAGCTCCAAATGGTCTGTTTGGATTAGGAATGGATAATGTATCTGTCCCAAGTATCTTAGCCAAAGAAGGGCTTACTTCAAATTCCTTTTCAATGTGTTTTGGATCTGATGGTCTTGGAAGAATCACATTTGGAGATAACAGCAGCTTTGTCCAAGGAAAAACACCATTCAACCTCAGGGCATTGCAGTAAGTAGTTATTATCTTTTATTCTCTGTCCTTTTACTCTAACAAGTGGTCACTTTCACTTAGATGAACACTTGAACCGGAAAAAAAAAAAAAAGAATGAATGTTGTCTGAACTGGTAGTTAAAAGTCTTTGGTTTGATTCCGTTTGAGGATCATACCATGCCTTGACCTTGAAATGGAGCAACCTATCCTCCCCTAATATTGAGAAACTATAGAAGAAGAAAAATAGAGTCTAACTTGTGCTTATTTTTACATGGCTACTTCTTTCCAGTCCTACATACAACATAACCGTTACCCAAATTATTGTGGGAGAAAATGTTGCTGATGTCGGGTTCCATGCAATATTTGACTCTGGTACCTCGTTTACATACCTAAATGATCCGGCTTATACGCAGATTGCTAACAGTGTAAGTAATCTTGATTATAGTTGGTTAATAAGGTAACTATAGAGCTTAATTTGACATGCATTTCTAATTTTTTTCCATTGTTTTTACAGTTTAATTCAGTAGTTAAACTACAACGGCACTCATCTTCTTTCTCTGATGATCTCCCCTTTGAGTACTGTTATGACTTGAGGTGATTTGTAACTTCAGAGATGTCTCTACTTCTTTTTCCTTTTAAATCATCAGACACTGATTTTGACCTTACTTGCAGTTCAAACCAGACTGTTGAAGTTCCCATTAATCTTACCATGAAAGGTGGAGACACTTATACTGTCACGGACCCTATAGTAACTGTCACTGGTGATGTGAGTAAATGAAATCCATTTTTGCATTTCATTATTATTAATATCTAATGATTTTTCATCCCCTAACCTCGTAAATGTGATATGCAGGATATTAACTTACTTTGCTTGGGTGTCCTCAAAAGCAACAACGTGAATATCATTGGACGTGAGTATTTTAACTTTTATATATATATATATAAATATATATATATATATATATATACTTACTTGTATAATTAACAATCTACTTATTTATATTTAAAATTAATAT